TCCTCTGCCCCTACCGCCACTCTCTTGCCGGAGCAGGCTCGCCGACCTCGTCCTCGCCGGCAAGCTCACGACCGAGGAGACCGTCTTTGGGTGGGAGGAGTACGGCGCAGCGCACACCGCGCTCCACGCCGGCGGCAGCGTCGGCAAGGTGCTCGTCGCCGGCCCCGTCGCCGCGGCGCCGCGGGGAGGAGGAGGAGGAGGGGACGGGGGCGGAGGAGGGGGCGGAGGGCCGGAGGCCGTGGCGGAGCTGGTGGTGCGGGCAGGCGCTTCGCTCGGGCGCGACACGGCGGCCTTCGCCCACTCCCTCGTGCACGACCACTGGGTCGACTCGGTCTCCGCGCTGCGAGTGCTACAGGCGGCTCAATTTGCCACCTTCGAGCACACCTCCCTGTGGCTTGTCCGTGACTGTGACGCGCCCGTGGCACGCCGCTTGCAGGCCCCCGACCTGATTGCGCTCGGCCTTCCGGGGCGCCTCGCGGCCGAGATTGTCAAGCAGGCGGCCAGCGCAGGGGAGGAGGCAGGAGCACGATTGGAGTGGAGAAGAGGCGCCGGCGCCGGCTGGGCGAGCGCGGCGGTCTCGCCGGTCCCGCCGCACGGTCATAGCACGGGCGACGGTCGCGTGAGCCGCCATCGGCCCGACTCGATCGCCACGGCCGCGTCGGAGTCGTCCGACCGCCGACTCTTCTGGAGCGCCGTCCTCGGCCTCCTCGTCGCCGCCGTCGGCCGTGGCAGACTGGCGTCTGCTGCGTGGTCGGCCGGCTGCAGCCTCCTCTCTCGCGTGGGCCGCGGGGCCGTGCCCGCCCTCCTCGCGTCACTGCGGCACGCCGCCTCCGCTGTCGCCGCCGCCGCCCTCGCGCTCGCCGCCGCCGCTGCCACCGCAGTGGCCGTGCGCTTGCGCAAGGTGCGACGCTGGAGCGCAATCGCGGTGACGTCAATCTCATGCCTCCCGCCGGCCTCATCGCAACCCGGTCACACCAGGTGATCGACGCGCTGCAGCAGACGAGCGAGTCGGACGAGGCCGCCTTCACGCCCCCTGCCCGCGCCGCGGCAGCGACTCCTTCACCCGTCACCCCCCCTCCTCCACCCCTCCCTTCCTCCACCCCCCCTCCCTGTCCGCCCCGGCAGGCCGTGCGCGCCCTCCTCGCTCGAGCGTCGAGCTCGGACGGCGGCGGGTCTCGCTCGGACGATGATCGGCCGTACACGCCCTACTCTGCCCGCTCCCGCCAGAACAGGCCCTTTGCCGGTGAGGCCGAGTCGCCTTCCACGCCCGTCGCTGGCGCGGAGGCCGCGGGCGCAAAGCTTGGGGCGGCGGACGCGTCGGCGGCCTCGCCCGCAGTAGAGGCGGGATACGGGGTGGAGGCGGAGGCGGAGCAGGCGCGCGCAGAGCAGAGCGCGGAGCAGCCCCGGCACAGCGATGACGCCGGCGCCCGAATGAGAGCGTCGCACTTGTGGCGTGAGGGCAGGATTGTTGCTGTAGGCAATGCGAGGACACCGGGCCCGGCGGTGCGATCCGTGCGCACTCGCCCGGCGTACGTCGAATGTGCGTTATGTGAGCTACGAATCGGCTCTAGTTTGTGTTGCGCTTGAGAGTAACAGAATCTCTTTGGGTGCGGCGGGAAAGGCCAGTGCCATCGCACACACGGCCCGTGCCCGCGTCGACCGTCGTACTCGTATCACGTATGCTGCTAGAGGCGCGTTACTTTCTCCGTTTGACAACACATCAAGAGCACACATCTGTAATATCTCACCACGCCGCCCCAACCCCATCTGCCGCCGAGGCTTCCGCCTCCCGGTCCCGCTCCGCGAGTAGTTCCGATAGCGGCGACTGCCGCGGCAAAGCGTCGAAGCGCGAGAACTTGAAGCGTGTCTCGAAGGGCGATCCGACCTCGTACATGCTCGCCTCACCCTCGATGGCGCCCTCAGCTTGCGCCGAGGTGGTGAAGTGGCCCTCCGGCGGGTAGACATCCACTCTTCCGTGCCGTGGCAGCGCCGATGAGAAGGACTGCCCGACGATTCCGTGAGGCAGGTGGCGAGCCGCGTAGTCTCCTCGGAGCACAAAGCCGATGTCGACGCGGTGCAGCGGCCCCATGCTCGCATAGGTGCGCGCGCCCTTGACGTTGATGGTCCAATATTTTGCTGAGAAGGTCGCGGAAGCCATGCTCATCGCGACATTCAGATCTTCGCACGCCCTGTGACCACCCTTGCCAAAACGGAAGCGGCGGCCGCCGCAGTACCCCGTGATGACCTCCCAGCCCCAATTATTCTCGTCGAGCTGCGAGCCCCAGAAGGAGAGGTTGGACCACTTGCGCTTCTCGCCGCCGACTAGGGCCGCCAGGTGCAGCTCCGTGATGAAGGATCCGTTCACGGTGAGCTTGTTGTTGTTGAGCTTGAAGGTGGCCGCCTCGATCTTAACATTGACAGACAAGCCCGGTGCCGAGAAGAAGTTGTAGAGCTGGCCGTTGCGGCCGCGAAAGTCGGCGCGACCGCCGTGGGCGAGGTGGAGATGGGGGTCCTACAGCCAAGATCACAGCCGTGAGCCTAGATGCGGCCTAGCAGGCAGCCGAGAAATGGGCGGCTGGAGGTGCACGGCGCCTGCTGAATGCGCAAGCCCATTTCTACAAAGCGCTCTCGAAAGCGCGTCGAGCCTCCCTCCCCTGTCCCCCACGGCGGTGGCGGCGGCGGCGGCGGCGGCGGCGGCGATAGCAGCGGCGGCGGCGGTGACGGCGGTGGTGAAGGCGGCGGCGGGACGGGGCTTCTTTGAAAGAAGAAGAGTTGGGTGCCTTGCACCGAGGCCTCGCCTCCTCCCCCGGGGCATTGGGAGCCCGCTGCCCCACTGAGACGGCCCGGCGTGTGCAGAATCGGGCCATCGCTCACGCCATAGGCGGAGACGAGCCCATCGAACTCGTTCAGCATGGGCAGGTCTGAAATGTTCGACTTGTATGTCACTGCGTCCGCGGGGTAGGAGGTCGATGTGGCGGAAATGTTGCCAAGGCATTTCCTTCCCCCCCGGGTGGTGATGGTGTGTGAGACACCACTCACGTCCCGCAGCGTCCCCTGCGCCGGCGTCAGCAAGAAATCGCTCGCAGTTGCGATCACAATGCAGAGGCCCTCCTTGTTCACGTCATTGTAATTGTTCGTCTGCGGTAGACCACGTCTGGTTGGTTGCAGGTGTGCGCACCTATGGGAGAGAGGAGGAGAATGTCGCACGCCTGTCACCATAGCTCGGGCGATCCTGCTTTCTGCCACCCGTCATCATGTAGTGTCATGGTCACGCCGTCCGCTGCCGTCGCTTCCACATCCTTCCACATGCTGGCATGTGCGTCGCATCTGCCAGAGGGAGAGATGTGGATGTGGACGATGGGTTCGAAAAGGAGAAAGCCACGAGTGTGGGCCCTCGCCTGGCCTGAGCATCGACACACGACAGCTTGACCAAAATATGCTTCCCCGAAAGCAGGGTTGTGCTCACGTAGTCTGTGGCCTGACAAAGAGAGAAGCGGGGCGGTGAAAGAGCGAGGAAGGCTTGATGTGTCCGAGCGAGAGCGCCTGGTACGGAGCTGGTCCACCAAAACCAGGGATCCTGTACACGGTGGTACCACGCTTCGATTCATTCTCAACACACACCTGAAACTTCACCCGCTCTCCTATGCGCAGGCGAGTGGGATGGGTCAGCATTCGGCGTCTCAAGGGCAACGGCGATTGCAGCCCGTGCCAACGCTGAGTCGCAGTGGGTTGCAGCTTCCATCAGGGCAGATGGAGATGGCAATGTTCCCCCCGACGGCGCAAGTTTCGGGCCAAGGAGTCGCCATCGCTCGGGGCGGCGGCAGAGTGGGAGGGGAGGGGGGAGTGAGACGGCGTCGTTTTGAGCACGGACACAGCTGCACGTAAGAGAAGAATTCAGGAACCCAGGTGCGGACTGGCGCGAGTTGGCACTAACACAGGCAAAGAAAGAACGGAAAGTTATTTATCATTCACACAACAAAGTGTCAAGCAAAAAACTCGATTTGACAGTTGCACGGCTCATCAACATTTAGATCTATCTATCTATCTCCTTCCTTTCAGTCCATGCCAATGTGCCAACGCGGACGGCCATTGGCATTGCGGGCATGGATCGCATCGTACACCACCTTTTTATGGTCCTCCTTCAGCAGTTCGCGCAGCGCCCGCAGCGCCGTCCGCAGCCCCTTGCATGTGCTGCTGAGCATGGCGACGACGGCGGGCTCGAGAGGGTCAGGATACCCATCACTGAGCGGACGATGCTACGGGTAGCCCCAGGGTGCCGCCCACCCCAATACCCTCGGGCACTTGCCTGCGCCCTGGCCGCGCACGCCGCGCACGCCCTGCCCAAGCCTGATCACCCGGTGCAGCCGAGCACTGGGAGTGCGCCCCCCAACGTCGGCATGATCACCGCGTACAGGAGCATCCGCCCCTCGGGACTACCACCACCCCGTTTCAGCGCCTCATACCCACTGACCGACTCGGAACGGACAAACCCCGCCAATCACCGCCCTG